TTGTAAGTGAGCAAGTACAGGATAGTTGGTACGATCCGACCCCAAGGATACTTTGAACCACCCATGAACACGATGGTCAGGTCAAACGCACAGTTGATGAGGAACGTGGCGACAATCCAGAGACCCAGCTTGAACTCGTTGAAGACTTTGGCGACCGAGCGCATACGGATGTACATTCCGCAGGCGAGAAGCGCCATGAAGCAGTAGTAGCTGATGATGAAGTACGATAAGGGTGAAGCCATCATGCACACATCTGCTCCTTGGATATTGATCTTGAAGATCGTATGCTTGTCCGGTAGGATCTCGGCCACTACACAGACACATAATAGGGGCAGCCAGAGAATGTAGAACGGCCAGTACATTTTGATATGCTTGGCAAGTACGCTTCCAGGGCCAGCCGCGCCAGTTTTTAAGATGAAAACGCGGTAGTAGAATACGAGGCGAAGAACCATTGCTGGCAACATGATACCGAGTCCCAATGCTAACATCATCCAAGCCGACCACAGTTTGCAATGTGAAAAGATACCCTCGTATCCTGCCATTCCAGAAACTGCTCCATAGCTGATGTTGAAGATACAGCAGCCAAACCCAATAACAGCTGTGACCCACACGTTTTTCACTTTAATCGGCAGGTATTTCCGGTTCCAGAGTGCATATAAAATGGCTGGGATATTGAGTAGGCTGATTGCAACGGCAGCAAAGTATATCGGTTTCTCAGCAGGCGATGAGGAGCCACCAGTGAAGCTCATAACCGCATAGCCATCTCGGGGACTAGGCGTGGCAGACATAGCGTTGGCCAATGTGTAGGGTGAAGAGTGGATATGAAAGTTGTAAAATGGAATTTGGATAATGGCGAGGAAGCAAAGACGAATCGGAAGCTCGACTCTGCACTGCAGACATTTGCAACAAACTATGAAATTTTTCGCTTGTAACAGCCCCCTACACTCTTCAGCCGCATCCGCTCCATCATCCCTCGCCTCCATGCAATGATTTCTGTGACGTGCAGAATACCCACATGTCAATAAAGGGTGTATTCTCTTTCTGACCTCTGCGATTGCCGTGGGCGCGAATGCACCATGGGTAATTTGTGAAAGCAGATAGGTTCAACGTGGGTATAGCTGGCACAAATACCATTCGTAGATCTATTGGCAAGAGTACATACCTGGAGGTATATTTAGAAGTGGGAATGCTGGGTTTCCGAACCGCAAATTGGTGGGCTGTTTAATGCAAAATGTCCGCATAGGGCAAAAGAGGTGCAATTACAAGGAGTGGCCGGACGCAGTGATCTGCTACAAAAATAAGGAGTGGAAGTACCGTTGGGCTTGAAGCTGGCTGACTGCAAGGATCGTCTTTGTTGATGATTGTTTGGGGAGGAAACTATCCACAGATTCACAAAGGGGGACTGAGCCGGAACAGAACGTGTCGAATTATGAAGAGATCTAAGGTTCGCATGGCAGAGGACTCTTGGCAACGCGTATGCATGCGTAGGATGCATATACCGATGCATGCTTTGGGAGTCGAAGGTGTCCGAATCAAGCAGAGCGAAAACTTTTCCAAACTGAGATTGAGCATTGTTGCCAATCGGCCGATGTGCTAATTATTGGAAATCGACTTGGGAACATGAAGTATTGTCAAAGATCACAGGTAATGTACGGGGGCGTTTCCAAACAAAGTACTGCCTTGGCATCACAATTCTCTGTCTACAATGAGAATGCTACCCACAGTGCATTTTGGCTGTGAACTGCAAGTACTAGATTTGAATTGCAGCCAGCTTGCATCTATGGTATGATGCTGCCAATTGCCTATCGATAATAAGCCGGTTGGTAAAAAATATGTGGGCATATTTTCAAACTTATGTTTGTTACTTGTACTGCGAAATGATTCATACAGACTAGAACGAAGGTTGGTATACATTCAGTAGCGCAATCAGTACCAAGTTATTTCCACATTTGCATTTGTCTGTGGAGCGTGTAGACTCCATATCGAACACATATAAAAGCACACCCTCAAGTACAACACAGCTAGAGGTGCTGCACTAGACAGACCACACTATGTTCAGCTTTTATCAACAAAATAGGTCCTGGACACGCTACACAAGAATGGCTGAGTATACGGTAGAGATGAAAATCGGAAACGCGCACTGGTGGATATGCGGTGTTATGAACGAGGATAATAAAGCACACGACAGATATGCCTAGTCCATCTTACGAACTCTATGGGAATACATCCAGGTGTCAGCCTGACCACATCCAGATTCACTATGGATCCAGATAGTGCATTTGAGGGCAGCGATGCAAGAGACTAAGGGGATGCAGATTTGTTTTGGTGGCGAGTTACCATGGAAGGGTTCTGCCGGGGCTGAAGAAAGGTTTTTTTTTTTCGAGTGTGGGGTGATTGGCGGCATGATTCCGTCCGGAGCCGTTGAGCCGACGAAATGCGGACAGCGATTTGCATCGAAAAAGGTTTTTATCGACTCAGTAAACAGGCAGCGATCCGCTACTCGGGTTCCTGAGCACGCCTCCGCTATTTGGCGCTACTATTATTACCGCCCTTTTCTGCTTCATGTGCCGACCCCAACGTGTCGGGAAACCAAGGCGATAGAGTGGGTATGTGGGCAGCGTGTGGATCAATACAAACAAGGCTCGGCAATGGCGTGTTTGCCGATTCGCTGTGCATGGAGAGAAGCGCTAGAATGGATTCCTGGAGGATTGAATGAAAAGCAGCTGAAAGCGGTGGTACAGAGCCTCGAAAAGGCGCGCATACACACATTGCGTAACACGCTTAATTATCTTGCTCACCACGCTTCATTGCGGAGTGAAAACTGAGTGAGACAGAGGAGGCCAGTACTTAAAGGCAACGGGAGGTTTTCTTCGATGCGACAGAGGCTGCTCCGCGCCCACCGTTTGATACTCTCACATTACCTTCTTCCTATTAATTTCTCACGCCTTTAAACCCCCTTTCTTTCTCGCACACAGAATGTCAGACAACTGGGACCGCTACTACTCACCGACATCTGTGGCAGAGATGCCAGTGTTTTACACTGTACTCGCTGTCAGCCTGACCAATATCCCGATTATCGGATATGCGATACACAATCGTGACTACTTGCCAATTAAGAGCAAGAACGTGTGGATTGTGGCCGGGATTGGGCTTGGCAGCACGATCTTCAACGTGTCGTTCAACATCCTCAACGGAATGATGGGATTTGAAGGCGTGCTCGGCTATTGTCGGTTCTGGACAGCGTGGATGATGAGCACACTGGGGCTTGGTTTGTTCCTGAGCCCAATGAACATGCGGCTGATCATCTACTACCGTGTGTTTGTGAAACGGCGGACACACAGCTACACGCACTTCACTATGGCCAAGTTCCTAAGGCGGTACTGGCCGTTTTTCGTGCTATGGATGCCAGTAGTGGTATCGAGCATTGTGGCATCGGTGCTGCCGGCACATGAGACAGTGCAGCTGGTTGTGGATCACGGACTAAACACCTGCCACAATAACTTTAGTTTCCTGTATTTTATCTTTGCCTACTTTGCGGCGCAGGTGTTTGTGGCGTGGGGACTGTACTTGCGTATGCGCAAGATTGCCAAGGCGTTCAACGAGTTCCAGCTGGCACTGTGGACATTGCTCATTTTCACCGCGATTTTTGTGCTTAATCTGGCGGTTATGTTAGCGCAGGGCACGGTATATCCGTGGGGCCGGATCTTCCTCGCTTTTGCCAACATGGTGCTCTTCAACTCGTACTTTTGGACAATCCTGGGCCCGCCAATCTATGGGCACATTTTCAGACGCGAGGCTACGTTGCGGCGGTTCATGGATGATATGCACGAGGACGGGATTCTGGCACAGAAAGCCCATATTGGAAACGCACACAAGCACCTGTATGGTGTTGAGGATGGCACCGATTCATACGTCAAGCAGTCGGATCTCGGCACCAGTGCGCATGCACCGTATAGCCAGATGCCTACTGCGGTTAACCCTATGGAGAGCAACACCGGTACTGACCAGTACTCCCCGTATATGCAGCGCCTGGCAAGTGCCAGCACCACTAGCATCTCCACGGTTGATGCGGCGGCCCAAAGCCGAGGCCGGCTGATCCTCTGAAAATACTGTATTTAATCCCCGTAGCAATGTAATGTGTCATGTAAACAAAATATATCTGCTTTTAATGACTGGCTGGCAGTTCGAGAATGAATGTTGGTGTATGAGGAAACAGCCTAAGAAATAAAGACGCTGATCTCTGATAGGACGGCATCAAGAAATAGAGGATCGCTAGGGGGTTGGGGATAAGCAGTTCCCAACAGGTTCCATCATGCATTGTTGCACTAGGTGTTGATCCGGGCGGAGGCGGTTACAATATTCCCCGCGCCATGCTTATTGTAAAGGGGTAAAAAGTTGATGACTTTTCCAACAACAGCACCGTCTGAAGTGGCCATTTTATAGCCAATTCGAAAGAGTGTCATAGAAACAATGAACTAGAGAGAAAGGAGAAAGAAGGTCTTAGTGGACAGGAGATTAATCGGTATGACACCTACGGGGAATTGTAGCAGCATTTGCTAGTAATTGACGATGTCTCCTGATCTGGAATGAGGAATACGTCGACCACATAACGTCGATGGGGAAGCTGGTTTTCGACACCATACTGATGGCGTAGTGCAAGCTGGTAGTGCTTTGCCTGAAATATGGTAATGAAGAACAATACTATCCTATCTAGCACTTTCCTTAGTAGCAAGCAAGATATTTATTCGGAGCCGTACAAAGACGGAGCCGGTGCACTCAGAAGTGAGCAGAATCTACGATGCCAAGCAATTGTAACGATCATCATAGTCGGACAAATAGAACGTCCAACAGACCAGCGATCATGGATGACAATCAGGATGCTCGCAAGCTGCTATAGTGAGGACAAGGTTTGTTGTCAAAACAGCTTGCCAAAGTCAGCTAGATACTTCTGTGGGGAAGGGATTGCAAAGGAGTACTCTTATCTCTGCCTATAGCAAAAACATATAAAGAGGATGAGCTGCTCTAGAACAATATCTTGAAAAAATAATCTACTGCATGTTTACACCATTTATCTCCTCTTATTCTTCTTCCATTTCTAATACCTTGCTGCTGATTCTCTTTCTATATACGCTTATTGAGAAGGATGTCGGATAACTGGGAATACATCTATGTACGGACATCATCAGCAGAGATGCCGGTGTTTTATGCAACGATGGGGATGTGTTTGCTGAACGTACCGGTTGTTGGATATGCGATATACAACCGCAACTACTTGCCAATAAAGAGCAAGAATGTCTGGATTTCAGCAGGGATGGGACTCGGCATGACGATGTTTTGCGTTTCGTTCAATATTATCAGTGGGATGATGGGGTTTGAAGGAGCGCTTGGTATGTGTCGGTTCTGGACAACATGGATGATGACTGTGTTTGGGTTGGCACTATTCCAGAGCCTGATAAATATGCGCCTAATCGTATACTACCGTGTATTTATCACACAGCAGACACACAGCTACAAGCAGTTTACGATCCGAAAGTTCCTGCGGAGGTACTGGCCGTTCTTTGCCATGTGGTTACCAATGGTGATTACTGCGATCGTTGCATTTATTCTACCAGCACGGCTCACGGTGGAACTTGTGGTGGATCACGGGCTCAACGCATGCCACAACAACTTTAGCTTCCTTTACTTTATTATTGCGTACATTGTCGCGCAGGACATTGTCGCGTGGGTTCTGTATTTCCGGATGCGATCGGTGGCAAAGGCATTCAACGAGTTCAAACTTGCGCTGGGGACAATTGTATTATTTACTGCATTTGTGGTACTTATCACGGCGCTCATGCTTTCGCAGGCTCTCGTATATTCATGGGGGCGCATATTAATTGCTTTTTCCAACGCAATACTGCTGAATTCGTACTTCCTCCTGATCTTGTGCCCCCCGATCTATGGACACATGTTCAACCGCGAGGAATGTATGCGACGGTTCATGGATGAAATGCATCAAGATGGGATTGTTGCACAGCAGGCACGCATCGGAAACGCACACAAGCAGCTGTACGGTATAGAAGAGGGCACAGACTCGTACCTTAAGCAGTCTAACGCAAGCGAAGGTGTACACGCAACATATGGCCAAATGCTTAGTAATGGAAGACATGCAGAAAGTGGAGACAGCACCATCCAGTATTCTGCATATATGCAACAGCTGACAAGCGTCAGCTCCACAAGCATTAACACATCCAGACCCGATGGCCAAAGCCGATATATTCTTTAAGTATATTTTTCTTCTTTGATTGCTGTATAGCAATGAATAAAGATATGCAAGTTACAGATAGTAATCACTATTGCTACCACTTGCTGAAGTGGTTAGACCACTTGTAGAGGATAGTCTGGCCTAAGCTTACAGATACAAAGATATTATCGGAGTACTGATGATTGCTTGGTGTATTTATTTTTTGAGGCAAAGCATAACTGAGACACCAACCCCTATTATTATTTTCCTAGATCACGATGATTACAAAAGCTGGCAAATGTCCTGAAAATCTTGTTGCAGAAGCCGTAAGGATATGGTCTGCACTTGTAACTAGGATGGGGCATGATGCTGAGTATGATATTATTAATGATAGTAAGAGGGTAACAAGAAAAAAAAAAAGTAGACCGGTCAGGACTATTGTGTTGCTAACTGATCTGACAAGTAGCGACCAAGTTAGCTAAAATGCAGATAATCCATGATAGCAATTTATATGGATTGCTATCAGCATTCAGAAAGCAAATTAAATTAAATAGTAAAAGGTGATTAAAAGGATTGTTGAATCCACAGGCAAAAAGTGTGCAAAATATCAGCCCGACGGGGGGGTCGAACCCCCAACCTTGAGATTAAGAGTCTCACGCTCTGCCGATTGAGCTAGCCGGGCTGGATTAACGGATTTAGGTCAGCAACTGAGCTATTCCACCTACGAGTCTAGGTTCCTTAAAAATATAATTGAATATCTGGACTCACTACCATTTCATTAGAGGTCATTCAGAGTTAGTTATCTGCACACCAATTATTTATGCATATTGAAACTACTGGCAATTTCAGTGAAATAAAAATTTCACCCAAACTGCTATTGGCATTTTGGAAAAGTTTTAGTGAACATAATTTCAACCAGAAAGAAAAATCTTTGTATATTAGAGGCTATTCACAAATATAAAAGTTTAAAAAAACTAAATATCTATTATCAGAATAACTAATTAACAAATAAGAAATCAATTACTAGCAGTAGATAAATATTTTAAAATACAGAATGTTTAGCAATGGCCAAAAATATTCTAGCAACTAGATTAACAAATAAACAAAGATGCCAAATATGGTGCTTCTCTGAAACCCCCTTTGGGCATCCTAAAAAATTTCAGTTGATTTCTTGTGACCCAGCCTCTATCTCAGTAGTAGCATATTAATTGTATATTAACTAAATTTTCAGGATGCCAATGGGGTTTTGTAGAAGTACAAAAAAAATAAAAGAATAAAAAGTTTTAAAAGATATAGCTATTTTTTACTTAGTTTAGTGATTGTGAATGACCTCTATTGACTTTTATTACCCAATGATAATTACCTCTAATATACAAAGATTTTTCTTTCTGGTTGAAATTATGTTCACTAAAACTTTTCCAAAAATGCCAATAGCAGTTTGGGTGAAATTTTTATTTCACTGAAATTGCCAGTAGTTTCAATATGCATAAATAATTGGTGTGCAGATAACTAACTCTGAATGACCTCTAATGAAATGGTAGTGAGTCCAGATATTCAATTATATTTTTAAGGAACCTAGACTCGTAGGTGGAATAGCTCAGTTGCTGACCTAAATCCGTTAATCCAGCCCGGCTAGCTCAATCGGCAGAGCGTGAGACTCTTAATCTCAAGGTTGGGGGTTCGACCCCCCCGTCGGGCTGATATTTTGCACACTTTTTGCCTGTGGATTCAACAATCCTTTTAATCACCTTTTACTATTTAATTTAATTTGCTTTCTGAATGCTGATAGCAATCCATATAAATTGCTATCATGGATTATCTGCATTTTAGCTAACTTGGTCGCTACTTGTCAGATCAGTTAGCAACACAATAGTCCTGACCGGTCTACTTTTTTTTTTCTTGTTACCCTCTTACTATCATTAATAATATCATACTCAGCATCATGCCCCATCCTAGTTACAAGTGCAGACCATATCCTTACGGCTTCTGCAACAAGATTTTCAGGACATTTGCCAGCTTTTGTAATCATCGTGATCTAGGAAAATAATAATAGGGGTTGGTGTCTCAGTTATGCTTTGCCTCAAAAAATAAATACACCAAGCAATCATCAGTACTCCGATAATATCTTTGTATCTGTAAGCTTAGGCCAGACTATCCTCTACAAGTGGTCTAACCACTTCAGCAAGTGGTAGCAATAGTGATTACTATCTGTAACTTGCATATCTTTATTCATTGCTATACAGCAATCAAAGAAGAAAAATATACTTAAAGAATATATCGGCTTTGGCCATCGGGTCTGGATGTGTTAATGCTTGTGGAGCTGACGCTTGTCAGCTGTTGCATATATGCAGAATACTGGATGGTGCTGTCTCCACTTTCTGCATGTCTTCCATTACTAAGCATTTGGCCATATGTTGCGTGTACACCTTCGCTTGCGTTAGACTGCTTAAGGTACGAGTCTGTGCCCTCTTCTATACCGTACAGCTGCTTGTGTGCGTTTCCGATGCGTGCCTGCTGTGCAACAATCCCATCTTGATGCATTTCATCCATGAAACCGTCGCATACATTCCTCGCGGTTGAACATGTGTCCATAGATCGGGGGGCACAAGATCAGGAGGAAGTACGAATTCAGCAGTATTGCGTTGGAAAAAGCAATTAATATGCGCCCCCATGAATATACGAGAGCCTGCGAAAGCATGAGCGCCGTGATAAGTACCACAAATGCAGTAAATAATACAATTGTCCCCAGCGCAAGTTTGAACTCGTTGAATGCCTTTGCCACCGATCGCATCCGGAAATACAGAACCCACGCCGACAATGTTCCTGCGCGACAATGTACGCAATAATAAAGTAAAGGAAGCTAAAGTTGTTGTGGCATGCGTTGAGCCCGTGATCCACCACAAGTTCCACCGTGAGGCCGTGCTGGTAGAATAAATGCAACGATCGCAGTAATCACCATTGGTAACCACATGGCAAAGAACGGCCAGTACCTCCGCAGGAACTTTTCGGATCGTAAAACTGCTTGTAGCTGTGTGTCTGCTGTGTGATAAATACACGGTAGTATACGATTAGGCGCATATTTATCAGGCTCTGGAATAGTGCCAACCCAAACACAGTCATCATCCATGTTGTCCAGAACCGGACACATACCAAGCGCTCCTTCAAACCCCATCATCCCCACTGATAATATTGAACGAAACGCAAAACATCGTCATGCCGAGTCCCATCCCTGCTGAAATCCAGACATTTCTTGCTCTTTATTGGCAAGTAGTTGCGGTTGTATATCGCATAATCCAACAAACCCGGTACGTTCAGCAAAACACATCCCCATCGTTGCATAAAACACCGGCATCTCTGCTGATGATGTCCGTACATAGATGTATTCCCAGTTATCCGACATCCTTCTCAATAAGCGTATATAGAAAGAGAATCAGCAGCAAGGTATTAGAAATGGAAGAAGAATAAGAGGAGATAAATGGTGTAAACATGCAGTAGATTATTTTTTCAAGATATTGTTCTAGAGCAGCTCATCCTCTTTATATGTTTTTGCTATAGGCAGAGATAAGAGTACTCCTTTGCAATCCCTTCCCCACAGAAGTATCTAGCTGACTTTGGCAAGCTGTTTTTGACAACAAACCTTGTCCTCACTATAGCAGCTTGCGAGCATCCTGATTGTCATCCATGATCGCTGGTCTGTTGGACGTTCTATTTGTCCGACTATGATGATCGTTACAATTGCTTGGCATCGTAGATTCTGCTCACTTCTGAGTGCACCGCTCCGTCTTTGTACGGCTCCGAATAAATATCTTGCTTGCTTACTAAGGAAAGTGCTAGATAGGATAGTATTGTTCTTCATTACCATATTTCAGGCAAAGCACTACCAGCTTGCACTACGCCATCAGTATGGTGTCGAAAACCAGCTTCCCCATCGACGTTATGTGGTCGACGTATTCCTCATTCCAGATCCAGGAGACATCGTCAATTACTAGCAAATGCTGCTACAATTCCCCGTAGGTGTCATACCGATTAATCTCCTGTCCACTAAGACCTTCTTTCTCCTTTCTCTCTAGTTCATTGTTTCTATGGACACTCTTTCGAATTGGCTATAAAAATGGCCACTTCAGACGGTGCTGTTGTTGGAAAAGTCATCAACTTTTTACCCCTTTACAATAAGCATGGCGCGGGGAATATTGTAACCGCCTCCGCCCGGATCAAACACCTAGTGCAACAATGCATGATGGAACCTGTTGGGAACTGCTTATCCCCAACCCCCTAGCGATCCTCTATTTCTTGATGCCGTCCTATCAGAGATCAGCGTCTTTATTTCTTAGGCTGTTTTCCTCATACACCAACATTCATTCTCGAACTGCCAGCCCAAGTCATTAAAAGCAGATATATTTTGTTTACATGACACATTACATTGCTACGGGATTAAATACAGTATTTTCAGAGGGATCAGCCGGCCTCGGCTTTGGGCCGCCGCATCAACCGTGGAGATGCTAGTGGTGCTGGCACTTGCCAGGGCGCTGCATATACGGGGAGTACTGGTCAGTAACCGGTGTTGCTCTCCATAGGGTTAACCGCAGTAGGCATCTGGCTATACGGTGCATGCGCACTGGTGCCGAGATCCGACTGCTTGACGTATGAATGGTGCCATCCTCAACACCATACAGGCTTGTGTGCGTTTCCAATATGGGCTTTCTGTGCCAGAATCCCGTCCTCGTGCATATCATCCATGAACCGCCGCAACGTAGCCTCGCGTCTGAAAATGTGCCATAGATTGGCGGGCCCAGGATTGTCCAAAATACGAGTTGAAGAGCACCATGTTGGCAAAAGCGAGGAAGATCCGCCCCACGGATATACCGTGCCCTGCGCTAACATAACCGCCAGATTAAGCACAAAAATCGCGGTGAAAATGAGCAATGTCCACAGTGCCAGCGGAACTCGTTGAACGCCTTGGCAATCTTGCGCATACGCAAGTACAGTCCCCACGCCACAACACCTGCGCGCAAAGTAGGCAAAGATAAAATACAGGAAACTAAAGTTGTGTGGCAGGTGTTTAGTCCGTGATCCACAACCAGCTGCACTGTCTATGCCGGCAGCACCGATGCCACAATGCTCGATACCACTACTGGCATCCATAGCACGAAAAACGGCCAGTACCGCCTTAGGAACTTGGCCATAGTGAAGTGCGTGTAGCTGTGTGTCCGCCGTTTCACAAACACACGGTAGTAGATGATCAGCCGCATGTTCATTGGGCTCAGGAACAAACCAAGCCCCAGTGTGCTCATCATCCACGCTGTCCAGAACCGACAATAGCCGAGCACGCCTTCAAATCCCATCATTCCGTTGAGGATGTTGAACGACACGTTGAAGATCGTGCTGCCAAGCCCAATCCCGGCCACAATCCACACGTTCTTGCTCTTAATTGGCAAGTAGTCACGATTGTGTATCGCATATCCGATAATCGGGATATTGGTCAGGCTGACAGCGAGTGCAGTGTAAAACACTGGCATCTCTGCCACAGATGTCGGTGAGTAGTAGCGGTCCCAGTTGTCTGACATTCTGTGTGCGAAAAGAAAGGGGGTTTAAAGGCGTGAGAAATTAATAGGAGAAGGTATGTGAGAGTATCAAACGGTGGGCGCGGAGCAGCCTCTG